GTTAGCCCCCAGACCTCCCAGGCCACGAAGACCGCTTCCGGCGGCCTGCGGGCGCGCAGACAGGAAGCGCAGCCCCCGGCGTCAGGGTCTCCAGCGCCGAGGCCGCAGCCGGCGGCGCGCTCGCCCGGTGCATTGTGGGTGTTGTAGTCCGGCCAGGACCGGCTCGCGACCGCAAGTCCCTTGACACGGCTTCTCCTCAATCCCCAGCCCGTGCGCCCCTCCCGGCGTTGGCTGGGCCTTCCCCGCGCGGCATTCCGGCGAGTCAGCTGTTTCTCCCCAGGCCACAGGGGCGGAAGCCTGAGGGCCGTGGGGAGGAGCTTCGCGCGCCGGTGAACGCCCGCCCTACGTGCTCGTTCGCTTCGCGACCGCTGCGCGCGAGCTCCGTGTCCCCGCGGCGGGCAGCGGCGGCAGAGTCGGAGGAAGGCGGAGGGGGCGGAGGGAGCCCGCGGCGGCGGCGGCTACAGCGAAATGGCGGAGACCGTGGCGGACACCCGGCGACTGATTACCAAGCCGCAGAACCTGAATGACGCCTACGGGCCGCCCAGCAACTTCCTCGAGATCGATGTGAGCAACCCGCAGACGGTGGGGGTCGGCCGGGGCCGCTTCACCACCTACGAGATCAGGGTCAAGGTGAGGCCGTCTTTCCCCTCTCCGGAGAAGTGCCTTCAGCCGGCCGTGGTTGCCCCCACCCTGCCTAGGGGCGAATCTCTCCAGGCAGCCACGGCCGACTGGCCGGGACCCCCCTTGCAGAGGCCGTCAGGCGGCCCTTTTGGTGGGCCAGGGTCGTCAGCCAGGTCTTCCTTTTCGTGTAGGGCTTGTATGGGGCTGCAGAGCGAGCCCAGCGCTGCCACTTGAAGAAGGTACTGAAAGGAGAGGGCGTGGGTTGAGCGCCACTTGCCCCTCAAGCAGCTGGTCTTGGAATGACATTTGAGTTGGAAAGGGGTAGATCATTCGAGAACACAGCCCTTCACCGGAATGGGAGTGAGATGTTGAGCGAGAAAGGAGGGTTGCGCAAAGTTGAAGCCTTTCCCCAGTTTCTTTTCCTGGAGACTTCCCAGAGGTGGCCAAGCCAAGCCCAGCCGCTTGCTCTAGGCCCTAGCCGAGCTACCAAACCAACGTAGGTTGCATACTATTCTGAACTGAATTGGAGGACACAAAAGCCCGATTCCAGTTTTTTGATAGGGCTAAGCCAGGCAAGAACTGTTTTTGGAAATGATCGACCTTAGCATTTGGAGCCATCGTCTTGCTAAAAAGACTGAGGTGTGATGAGTGTTGCCTACTTCACAATCCAAAACTACAACTGCTTTAAGAAAAGGCTGTTCATTTAGAATTTGCGATCTTAATTTTGAGATTTACACTTGCCTGAATGCAGGAATCAACTGAAGTAAAAACACTTAGGATTTCCTAACTAGTATTTGTTGGCAACAAGTAATTCAGATGATTTGAAAGATGCTAATTGAATGGTGCTTCTTTTTCACTGTGGTTCAGGATTAAAGAATTTGCTCATGTGTGGAAGTATCTAAAAATTAATTACATAAACTAATCGAGCTACTAAAGACAACAAATTGCTTTATTGAAAATTAAGCATAAGATGATTTTGGCTTTAGAGCAATAAAATTTACATAACCAGTTACTATTACTGTTTAAGTGAATAATTTACCTTTCTGTGTGTTGTGAAAAATACAACATAAAATTTAGCATCCTAATAAATTTTAAGCATACAGTTTAGTAGTACATTCACATTATTGTATATGTACTATGCATTTTTTAAAAATGATTTTTTTTTTTTTTTTTT